CCTGAGCCGAAGGCAGATGCTTAATGTCTGAGCCACCCAGGAGCCCCAGTTGGTTAAGCATCCAACCCTTGGTTTGGGCTCAGGTCATGATCTCAGGGTCATGAGATTGAGCCTTGTGTCAGGCTCCAAACTGGGTCCAGAATCTGCTTGAGATTCTCTCTCCCTCTCCATCTGCCCTTCCAGCTCATTCTTGTTCTTTCTCTCTCTCAAATTAATTAATTAATTTTTTAAAAGGTGGTGAGAATGGACATCCTTGTCTTGTTACTGACCTTAGAGGGAAAGCTCTCAGTTTTTCACCACTGAGTGTGATGTTAGCTGTGGGTTTTTTGTAGAAGGCCTTTATTATGTTGAGGTATATTCCCTCTAACCCCATTTTGTTGAGAGTTTTTATTATGAATGAATGTTGAATCTTGTTAAATGCTTTTTTTGCTTCTATTGAGATGGTCATATGATTTTTTCCTTTGTTTTCTAGGTGTGGTATATGACGTTGATTGAGTCACAAATATTGACCTATCCTTGCATCCCTAGAATAAATCCCATCTGATCATGGTGAATGATTTTTTTAATGTGTTGTATACAGTTTGCTAATATTTTGTTGAGGATTTTTGCATCTATATTCACCAAGGATATATTGTCCTGTAATTTTTCTTTTTTTGTTGTGTGTTTGTCTGATTTTGGTATCTGGGTAGTGCTGGCCTCGTAGAATGTATTTGGAAGTTTTCCTTTCTCTTCTGTTTTTTGGTTTTTTTGGGTTTTTTTTTTTTTTTTTTTTTTACTACTTTGAGAATAGGTATTAACTCTTCTTTAAATGTCTGGTGGAATTCATCTGTGAATCCATATGGTCCTGGAACTTTTGGTAGTTTTTTTTTAAGATTTATTTATTTATTTGAGAAAGAGTGAGAGCATGAGTGGGAGGGGCAGAGGGAGAGAGGATCTCAAGCTGACTCCATGCTGAGTGCAGAGCCTGACATGGGGCTTGATCTCACAACCCTGAGATCAGGACTGGAGCTGGAACCAAGAGTTGGACACTTAACCAACTCACAACCCAGGCATCCCTTTTTGGTAGTTTTTTGATTACCAATTCAATTTTCTTATTGTAATTGGTCTATTAAGACCTTTTTATTTATTCCTGGTTCAGTTTTGTAAGATTGTGTGTTTTGAAGAATTAGCTATTTCTGTTAGATTGTCCAGTTTGTTGGCATATAATTTTTCATAGTATGCTCTTATAATCCTTTGTATTTCTTGATGTCAGTTGTTACTTCTCTTGATTCTGATTTTAATTATTTGGGTCCTTTCTCTTTTTCTTGATGAGTCTGGCTAAGGGTTTATCAATTTTGTTTATCTTTTCAAAGAACCAGTTCTTGGTTTCACTGATATTTTTTCCTTTTTTTTTCTTTTTTCAGTCTGTATGTCATTTATTTCTGCTTTGATCTGTATTACTTCCTTTCTTCTATTCACCTTGGATTTTGTTCTTCTTTTTGTAGTTCCTTTTAGCTGTAAGTTTAGATTGTTTGAGTTTTTTCTTGCTTCTTCAGGTAGGTCTGTATTGCTCTATGCTTCCCTCCTAGAACTGCTTTTGCTGTATCCCAAAGATTTTGGACCATTGTGTTTTCATTTTCATTTGTCTCCATGTATTTTTTTATTCCTTTTATTTTTAATTTTAATATATTTTTTAAAGATTTTATTTATTTATTTGAGAGAGAGAGCACAAGCAGAGGGAGAAGCAGACTCCCTGCTGAGCAGGGACCCCCAATGCGGGTCTTGATCCTGGGACTCAGGGATCATGACCTAAGCTGAAGGCAGACACTTAGCCGACTGAGCCACCCAGGCACCCCTATTTTTTCATTTCTTCTTTGATTGCTTCATTGACCCATTGGCTGTTTAGTATCATGTTGTTTAATGTCTATGTGTTTGTATTTTCTCCAGTTTTTTTTCCTTAAAAAAATTTTTTTTTAAGATTTTATTTATTTATTTAATTGACAGAGAGAGAGAGACAGCGAGAGAGGGAACACAGGCAGGAGGAGTGGGAGAGGGAGAAGCAGGCTTCCTGCTAAGCAGGGAGCCCGATGTGGGGCTTGATCCCAGGACACTGGGATCATGACCTGAGCCAAAGGTAGTCACTTAACCAAGTGAGCCACCCAAGCGCCCCTCCAGTTTTTTTTTCCTTGTGATTTGTTTCTAGTTTCATACCATTGTAGTAAAAAAAAAAAAAAAATTCATATGATTTGACTCTTCTTAAATTTATTGAGACTTGTTTTATAACCTAATATGTGATCTACTGTGGAGTATGTTACCCATGCACTTGAAAAAGAATGTTTATTCTATTGTTTTTGGATGGAATGTTCTGTGTATGTTGTTGTGTCCATCTAGTCCAATGTGTCTTTCAAAGACATTGTTTCCTTATTGATTTTCTGTCAGGATGATCTATCCACTGATGTAAGTGTATTGTAAAGTCCCCCTACTATTATTATATTAGCATCAGTTTCTCTCATTTTGTCTGTTAACGGTGACTTATGTATTTAGGTGCTCCAGTGTTGGGTGCATAGATATTTACAATTGTTATATTCTCTTTTTGGATTGATTACTTTCTCATTATGTGATGCCCTTCTTTGTCTCTTGTTATAGTCTTTATTTTAAAGTCTCTTTTGTCTGATATAACTATTGCTACCTAGGCTTCTATTTTTGGTGGGGGGGCTTCCATTTTCATGGTGAATGTTTTTCCATTCCTTCACTTTCAGTCTGTACGTGTCTTTATGTCTGAGGTGAGTCTATTGTAGGCAGCATATAGATGGGTCTTGTTTTTTTATCCATTCTGTCATTCTATGTCTTTTGATAGGAGTATTTAGGCTATTTACATTTAAAGTAATTATTGATAAGTGTGTACCTAGTGCCATTTTTAAACTTTATTTTCTGGTTGTGTTACTTAGTTCTTCTACAAAACACCTTTCTTTCTCTCTTTCTTCTCTTGCTCTCTTTCTTTGTGACCGGTGAATTGTTTTGTTTGGCTTCTTTCTATTTTTTATATATCTCCCATAGGTTTTCGGTTTGTGGTTACCATGAGGTTCATATATAATATCCAAATGAATAACAGTCCATATTACTTTTCTGGTCATCTAAGTTCAAACACATTCTAAAAAAAGCAAAACAAAAACAGTAAAAGAAAAAATCTTTTCCCCCTTCTCTTCCCTTTTTACTGACCTCTCCACAGTTTACTTTTATAGCACTGGTTTAGCAGTATTAACTTCTTTATCTTTTGTTTGTCTAGGAAACTCTCTCCTCAAATATGAATACCTTGCAGGTACTTGGTTAGTTTTTCCTTTCGGCACTTTGAATATATAATGCCACTCCTTTCTCTCCTGTAAAGTTTTTTTTTTTTCTTGTGAGTAAAGCAACAGAAGTTTATTAAGCAAGGATACAGAAAAAGCTCACAGGAGTGAACAGGGTTGCCCTGGCCTGCAAAGTTTCTGCTGAAAAATCAGCTGATAGCTTCATGTTTTCCCTTCTAAGTACTTTTTGTTTTTCTCTTGCTGCTTTTAAAATCTGTCTTTATTTTTATTTTTAACCTTTGACATTTTAATTATTGTGTGCCATGGTCTGGAGCTCCTTGGGTTCATCTGGTTTGGAACTCTCTGTGCTTCTTGGACTTGGAGATCTATTTCCTTCCCTAGGTTAGGAAAGTTTTCACTTATTTCTTCACATAACTTTTCTACACCTTTCTCTTCTTCTGGAATCCCAATAATGTAAATGTTTGCTTGATAGTGTCCAAAAGATTTCTTAATCTATTCACATTTTTGGAACTTTTTTTCTCTTTGTGCTCTTCTGCTTGTATGCTTTCCATTACCCTCTCTTCTAGATCACTGATATATCCTTCTGATCCTTTAATCTGCTGTTGATTTCCTACAGTATGTTCTTTTTTCAGTTATTGCGTTCTTCAATTCCTCTGATTGGTTTCTTTTAATATCTTCTGTCTTGTTATTGAAGGTATCACTGAGTTCGTCCACTCTTTTCTTCAGCCCAGTGAGTGTCTTTATGACTATTACTTTATTTTTTGTTTTTTAAAGATTTTATTTATTTTATTTATTTGAGAGAGATAGTGACAGAGGTAGTGAGAGAGATCACAGTCGGGGAGGAGAGGGAGAAGCAGGCTTCCCGCTGAGCAGGGAGCCCAATGTGGGGCTCGATCCCAGGACCCTGGCATCATGACCTGAGCCGAAGGCAGACGCTTAACTAACTGAGCCACCCAGGCGCCATTTTGACCATTACTTTAAATTTTTTTTCAGGCTTATTGTTTATTTCTGTTTCATTTAGTTCTTTTTCTGAGGTGGTTTTTTTTTTTTTTTTCCCCTTGTTCTTTCTTATGGAGCATATTCCTCTGTCTCCCCATTTTGCTTGAGTTTTTGTGTTTGTTTCTATAGAAAGGTAAAGAGCTACTTCTCCTAAACTTGAAGGGGTGATCTTGTGTATGGTGTCCTCTGTGCAGACTGTGTGTGGTTGGTGACTTTAGCTGGCTGACTGGAGCTGTGGCTGTATATGCTAGTTACTCTTTTAACTGTGGCATGTCTCCATCTCTCTTCCTGTTCTCTTTTTGTTCTATTTTTGGTTATTCAGTAGCTGTTCAGTCAGCCCTAAGTTTTTCAGGAAGAATTGTTCAATTAATAGGTGTAATTTGGTGTGTTCCATGGAGGAGGACATAGTTTTTCCTACAACCCCATCTTCAACTAGAACTCTCTTTACACCCACTTTAAATAAATCAGGCCAAACTGGAAGACTTATTGCTGAGTTTACTTACACTCATTTTATTGCATAAACTTCTGAAAAAGGTGAGTTGGTAATATAGTAATGAGTAAAACCTCTATAAATATATGACTTTCTGGGGCACCTGCCTGGCTCAGTCAGTAGAGCATGCAACTCTTGATCTCGGGGTTTTGAGTTTGAGTCCCATGTTGGGGGTAGAGTTTACTTAATTTAAAAAAAAGACTCTCTTTTCTTTATGCTTTCAGGCTAAGAGCACAGACAAAACAACAACTCTTGGAATATAAATCAGTAGTTGATGCAAGTAAGTATTTTCATTTTCAAATAAGATTTTGTGAGCTTGGTGATGAACAGTATTCTAGAGAAAAGAAAATCAACTTTACAAAAATTTATTTAGGGAATGGGAGTGTCAGCATAATGTGGTACTATACTATATAAGAAGGCAAAAAACACAATTGCGGGCGCCTGGGTGGCTCAGATAGTTAAGCGTCTGCCTTCGGCTCAGGTCGTGATTCCCAGGGTCCTGGGATTGAGTCCCGCGTCGGGCTCCCTACTCCTTGGGAGCCTGCTTCTCCCTCTGCCTCTCTCACTCTCTGTCTTTCATGAATAAATAAATAAAATCTTTAAAAAAAAAAAAAAACACAATTGCCCTGTCCCTCAGGAACTTGTTAGGAATTCAGGAAACAGATTAACAAAACTAAATAATAATGCAAGAAGTTAAGTTCTGTTGATCAGAGAATTGGGAAATTTCTGTGGGAAGGAATCATAGGACTTGATCATGAACAACTTGGAGATTAAATTAGTGGATCAGATGATTGTTAAGCAAGTAATCTAAAATCTATACTCTGAGAAACACTGGAAGATAGGAATGAGAGGCAGAAGGGAGATCAGCTTAAAGATATGAATGATAATTTCAATTTTAAACACTGAAAAAATTTACATTTTTTTAAAAGATTTTATTTTTTTGAGCGTCACCTGGGTGGCTCAGTCAGTTAAACATCTGCCTTCGGCTCATGTCATGATCTCAGAGTCCTGGGATCAAGCCCCATGTCAGGCTCCCTCCTCAGCGGGAGTCTGCCTCTCCCTCTCCTCCCCACTCGTGCTTTCCCTCACTATCTCTGTCTCTCAAATAAATGAATAAAATCTTAAAAAAAAAAAAAGATTTGGGACACCTGGGTGGCTCAGTCGGTTAAGCGTCTGCCTTCAGCTTGGGTCATGATCCCAGGGTCCTGGGATTGAGCCCCAAGTTGGGCTCCTTGCTCAGTGGGGAGTTTGCCTCTCCTTCTCCCCCTTCCCCAGCTCATGCTCTCTCTCTCGCTCTCTCTCTCTCAAATAAATAATCTTTAAAAAAAAAGATTTTATTTATTAGAGAGAGAGACACAATCCACAAGCAGGGGTAGGGGTAGGGGCAGAGGGAGAGGGACAAGCAGACTCCCCACTGAGCAAGAAGCCTGATGCAGGGCTCAATCCGGGAACCTGGGATCATAACCTGAGGTGAAGGCAGACGCTTAACGGACTGAGCCACCCAGTCGTTCCTGAAAAAATGTAGATTTATCTTTTAAAATCTAGACATCTTGAGCAAGAGAGTACTAAAATAATGGTTTAACTCTCCTAAAGTAATAACCATTATTGCAACCTAATTTGTAAGCCTTTGGATTACAAAGATAGGTTTTGGTGAGTCTTTCTTTCTCTGTGAAATAGGCTTAAAGAATAATACCAAGTAATACTTTAGGTTGAATCAAGAATTGTGGAAAACCTGAGGGGCCACAGAGATGACTTAGTCACTTCACCTGAATACATGTTTAACTTAGGAACTTTTCAGACTCTGCTCAGATTCTTTTATAAGGCCATAGATCCAAAGGCAGTTCTAGTATGTTGTCCGTCTGATAGTCCAGGCTTTCCAAAGTCTTTTTATGCAAAACAACAACAAAAAAATAGGACTATGAAATGGGCCCCCTGGCTGCTTTTCTGCTTGGTATAACTAGTAATTTTTTTTTTTAAAGATTTTGTTTATTTATTCATAAGAGACAGAGAGAGGCAGAGGGAGAAGCAGGCTCCCTGCTGAGCAAGGAGCCTGATGCGGGACTTGATCCCAGGACCCTGGGATCATGACCTGAGCCGAAGGCAGATGCTTAACTGAGCCACTCAGGCACCCCATAACTAGTAATTTTTGAAACTGGGTTGTGAAACAGGTCTTCTTGCCTCCAAAGCCATGACCTTCCATTATATCAATAATGTTACCATCAATAATGACCAATATGGGGGCACCTGGGTAGCTCAGTCAGTTGAGCCTCTGCCTTTGGCTCAAGTCATTATCCCAGGGTGCTGGGATCGAGCCCCACATCGGGCTCCCTGCTCTGCGGGGAGCCTGCTTCTCCCTCTCCCTTTGCACCTCCTCCTGCTTGTGTTCTCTCTTTCTTTCTCAAATAAATTAAAACTAAAAAAAAAAAAAAAAAATTACCGGCAAGTCATTTCCCTTCCCCTGGATGCATTAATGATCTCATTTCTGAAGCCCGTGCTCCTTGTATTAAACTAGTGATGTTTAATGAAGGTAGGATATGGCTAAATTCTTTTGCTGCCATGAGAGCCCACGTAATAAAAAAAAGATAATGTATCTTCTTAGAGGACAGGCTGTAGGGGGAAAGCTATTCATAATTTGGGCCATTGAGAAATTATCTCTGTGTATTCCTGCATTCATTCAAATCATTTTTAAGTATTCAATATGTCCCCACTAGGGACATCTAACTAGGCATGGAGACATAGTGTTGAAGAAGCAGAATTTGCCCCAGTAGAGCTTAAATTCTGTGTAGCAAAACAGGTAAGGAAAGAAACATTGCAAGATAACTATGAAGTATGGTTAAGTGTGATGAAGGAAATAATAGTGTCATAAGGAGGGGCTACTCTAGATACTGTGATCAAAGATGGTGTCTTCGAGAAGATGACATGAGAGTAAAGTCCAAGTGTTAAGAAGTAGTCCAGCTTCTCAACAGAGTCCTTGTTTTCCATCTATATATAATTTTTCTTTTAAGGGATTATGACTTCTGAACACTTGAGTAGGCTTAATAGTGCACACTGTAGAGTTTCTACAACTAAAGGAGATTACAGCTTTAGGGCAGGAAGTGAGGTTGTAGTCTTTGAAAAAAGATATTTATCTAAAATTAATTATTTTACCATTAAAAGAATATGTTACTTTATTGCTTGAAGGATTTTTTTAACAGTAAGTGCATCCATTTTCAGCATACAGTTTGTTGAGTTTTGACAAATATATATATGTATCAGTGTAACCACCACCACAGTCAAGATAGAATATTTCTGTTATACCTCCCCTGTTCTACTTCACAGTCAGTCCCTATACTTACCCCAGCACCCACCATTATAATTTCTGTTATTATAGATTTGCCTTCTAGAGTTGGGCTGTCCAGTGCTGTAGCCATTAGCTACATGTGGCCTTGTAAAGTTAAATTAATTGAAATTATATTTAAAATTCAGTTCTTTAGTTGCACTAGTTACATATCAAATGCTCACTAGCCACATGTGTCTAGTGACTACCCTTTTATTTATTTATTTTTTAAAGATTTTATTTATTTGAGAGAGAGAGAGAATGAGAGATAGAAAGCACGAGAGGGAAGAGGGTCAGAGGGAGAAGCAGACTCCCTGCTGAGCAGGAAGCCCGATGCTGGACTCGATCCCAGGACTCCAGGATCATGACCTGAGCCGAAGGCAGTCGCTTAACCAACTGAGCCACCCAGGCGCCCGACTACCCTTTTAGACAGCAGAGATATTAAACATTTCTACCATCACAGAAATTTCTCTTGGACAGCACTGTTCTACAACATGATGTAAACAGCATTATATGATATGTATTTATGTGTGTGTATATGACAACTTTCTTTTAATGGAGATTTAATTCATATAACATTCATTTTAAAATGTGCAGTTAGGTAGGTTTTAGTATATTCACAATATTTTTTTTTTTTTAAAGATTTTATTTATTTATTTGACAGAGAGATAGACAGAAGAACACAAGCAGAGGGAATGGCAGAGGGAGAGGGAGAAGCAGGCTCTGCACTGAGCAGGGAGCCCGATGCGGGACTCGATCCCAGGACCCCGGGACCACGACCTGAGCCAAAGGCAGACGCTTAACCATCTGAGCCACCCAGGCGCCCTGTATATTCACAATATTATGTAATCATTACCAATATCCAATTCCAGAACATTTTCATCACCCTAAAGAGAAACCCAATACCTGGTAGTCACTCCCAATATGTATGGCTGCTTTTGCACAGCATAATTTTATGATTCATCCATGTTGTTTGTTTCAGTAAATTTTCCTCTTTTATTGTAGAGTATATTTCATGATGACTCTACCAAGTTTTGTTTACCCATTCACCTGTTGATGGCCATTTGAATTGTTTGCAGTTTTTTCCCATTATGAATAAAGCTGCTATAGACATTTGTCATTTCTACGTGTCTTTTTGTAGACACTTCTTTTCATTTCTTTTGGTTAAATACCGTGAGATTGTGTGCTCATGTGGTAACCATGTTTAACTTTTTTTTTTTTAAAATATCATGCCCAGTGTGGAGCCCAATGCAGGGCTTGAACTCACAGCCCTAAGATCAAGACCTGAGTTGAAATCAACAGTCGGATGCCCAACCGACTGAGCCACCCAGGTACCTCTATATGTTTAACATTTTAAGAAACTGCCAGACATCTAAAATGTTTACACCAGGGTGCCTGGGTGGCTTAGTCGGTTAGGCATCTGCCTCGGTTCAGGTCATGATCTCAAAATCCTGGGATTGAGCCCCACATCAGGCTCCCTGCTCAGCAAGAGAGTCTGCTTCTCCTTTTCCTTCTGCTCCTCCCCCCCTGGCTTGTGTGCATTTTCTCTCTCTCTCTCTGTCTCAGATAAATGAATAATCTTTACCAAAAAATGAGAAAAATGATTATACCATTCTGGTACATTCTTCCTAGAAGCATGAGATTTCCATATACTCAGCATCATCTTTAAAATTTGATACTATTGACTGGAGTTTAAAGCCTGTCAGCGGGCGTAGCTTTGCTCCCCCAAACCTCCCCGTCATCTCTGGTCCGCGCTCCCGGCTCGTGGTTTCCTCGTGGCCCAAGGTGGGTGAGCTTAGGGCGAGGGCGCTGCGCTGTCGGGGACCGGCCAACCTGGGATGTCGCTGCCTGATCCGAAAGGAAAGGCTCCCGCGCCCGTCCGTGTTCCACAGCGTCTTCGAGTACGGCACCGGCCAGCTCGAGGCTTTCTCGAACGCCAGTGAAGTGGCCAGCATTGTGCTAGGCCCCCGACATTTGGCGGTGAACGAAGCAAGTTTCCTCCCCTCTGAAGGAAAAATCCCCTTTCGTCTTGTGTCCCCTTGTAATTGCAGCGCCAGGTTTCTCCTACCGTAGGTAACAATGGTTCTTCCAAGAATGGGCTGTGTTGGTGGCTGCAACATCCTCACCTCCCATCAACTGTTAAGGCTTTTTTTTTTTTTAATTAAAAAGCAGAAAAGTAACATAAAAAAAATAAAAAATAGAATTTAATACTGAATTTAATAGAATTTTAGCCATTCTAATAAGTATGTAGTGGTATCTCATGTGGTTTTAGTGTACATTTCCCTGATAACTAATGATATTGAGTATCTTTTCATGTGGTTATTGGCAATTAATATATCTACGTTCATGAAGTAGATCTGTAAATCTACTCTTATGAAGTGTTAAAATCTTTGCCTATTTTTTTTTAAAGATTTTATTTATTTATTTGAGAGATAATGAGAGAGAGAGAGCACAAGAGGGAAGAGGGTCAGAGGGAGAAGCAGACTCCCTGTGGAGCAGGGAGCCCGATGCCGGACTCGATCCTGGGACTCCAGGATCATGACCTGAGCCGAAGGCAGTCGCTCAACCAACTGAGCCACCCAGGCGCCCTGCCTATTTTTTTAATTGGATTGTTATTCTTACTGAATTTGAGTTCTTCATTTACAAATGTAGTTATTTTTTCAGGTATCTATATATATATAGGTTACAGGTATATATATATAGATGTTAAGTATATATCTATAGATATGTAGGTATCTGTGTATCTACTTATATATTCAGCAGGTATTTTCTCCCAGTTTGTTGCTTGCCTTTGTTTTTTGTTTTTTTGTTTTTTTGAAGATCTTTTTAAGTAATCGCTACATCCAACATGGGGCTCAGAGTCACCACCCTGATAACAAGAGTTGTCTGCTGTACTGACAGAGCCAGCCAGATGCCCAACTTGCCTTTGTTTTTTAACTCTCTTTGAGGAACCGAAGGCATTAATATGAAGAAGTGATTTTTATCAGGTTTTTTCTTTTGTGGTATATGCTTTTAAGTCCTAAGAAGTCTGGGACCACTCCAAGGTCACAAAGATTTTCTTTGTTTTGTTCTACAAGGTTTATGGTTTTAGGTTTAACATTCAGTTCTGTAATCCTTTTTGAGTTAATTTTTGTGTATGGTGTGAGCTAAAGATCAAGGTTCATTTTTTCCCTCTATGGAAATCTAATTTTTCTAGCACTGTGTGTTCCAAAGACTTTCCTTTCTCCATTGTATATATGTGTGGGTCTATTTCTGGGCTTTTTGCTCTGTTCCCTTGAGGTATTTGTCTATGCTTCCAATAGTGCCACACTATCTTGACTACTGTAGCTTAATAGTAAATCTTGATATCAACTCCTGTAACTTCCAGTTTTGTTCTTCTTTATCAGAATTGTTTTGACTGTTAGGTCCTTTGTGTTTTTATATGCATTTTAAAATCAGCCTGTTTCTACAGAAAAAAAAAGTCAGAATTTTGATTGGGATTTGATTGGGATCTATAGATCAATATGGGGGAAATTGTTGTATTAGCCATATTGATTCTTCTAATACCTATATATGATATATCTTTTCAGTATTTGAACATATTCACTGTAGAGGTCATATGCATATCTTGTTAAATTTATCCTTAAGTATTTCATGTTTTTGAAAGAAACTATATTGTAATTTTACCTTTTAATTTCCCATTGTTTTTTATTTTTTTTTTTAATTTATTTCTGTGAGAGAGAGAGAGGATGCAAGTGCATGGATGGGGGTGGTGCAGAGGGAGAAGCAGACTCCCCACTGAGCAGGGAGCCCTATGCAGGACTTGATCCCAGGACCCTGAGATCATGACCTGAGCCGAAGGCAGACACTTAACACACTGAGCAACCCAGGAACCCCCGACTGTTTTTTTTCTAACATATAGACGTACAGGTGATCTTTTTGACATTGCTCATGTTAATATTTTACTCCTTTTTTATTTTCCATTATTCTCAAACTGCTCTGTCCAGTTTGCTAGCCACTAGCTCCATGTGACAATTGAACACTTGAAATGTGGTTAGTCTTCGAGAGGGAGTATAAATGAAAAATACAGAAGAAAAGATTATAAAATATTTCATTAGTAATTTTAGATTAATTACATGTTGAAATGATAATATTTTAGACCTATTGGGTTAAAATAAGTTATACTGAAATATTTTCACTTGCTTTATAATATGGAAACTAAAAAAAATTAAATTTTTGGTTTGCATTTGTGGCTTATATTTCTGTTGGACCACACTCTTCTAAACTGTTACTAACTTCAAAAAATTATTTATTTGTAGATGAAGAAAAAACTCCAGAACAAATCATGCAAGATAAGCAAATTGAAGCGTATGTCATATTTTAAATTTTGTGTTTTTTACTAAGGTTCGATATAATTACCCATCTTACACCATTATCTTCATTTTCCTTTTCTTTATTTTTCCAAGTAATTTTTTATGCATGTACTGAGAAGTTGTTGATACGGGAGATGGACTTAACATGTACCTGAGTGATCACATTAGCACTTTTGGCATTCCCCTTCACCAGATAATTAGTTGAATATCTCAGAGGCATCTGTTTACCAAATCTATAAATGTATCAGTGTGGGGAGCCTGTAGAATAATTTTATGTAGATAGGGTCATTTTACTTTTTTCAAAGGTTTACTTTATATGTTTTTTGATATTCAATGAATTTTTTTGATACTGATATTGCTGAAATTTTTTTGTTCATGCTTCTTTGATAGTAAAATTGAAGACCTGGAAAATGAAATTGAAGATGTGAAAATTGCTTTTGAAATAAAAAAGCTTGCATTAGACAGGTAATTTTTACATTCTAGGTATAAGCATTGTGAACTGAATGAAAAATGGGTATGATTTGAGGTGGAGGGAATATTTTAATTAGTCTAAATGATTAATCAAGTGATATGATCATTAGATAATGGTTACACAGATTTTGAGTTCTGAGAGAAAAGTTACGTCATTCATTAATACCTTCATTTGAAGTAGTTACCCATAAGCTTGACTTAATAAGAAAATGTCAATCAAGGAAATAGAAGGGTGAGCTTAAATCCCATCCAGTGTTTCAAAGGATTACATGGATTCAATTACTACAGTAACTATTAATCAAGTAAAAGAATTGTCATCAAGTTTAAATATATCTATATGTATATACTTTTATTTTTTTTAATTTTATTTTATTATGTTATGTTAATCACCATACATTACATTAGTTTTTGATGTAGTGTTCCATGATTCATTGTTTGCATATAACACCCAGTGCTTCATTCAATACATGCCCTCTTTAATACCCATCACCAGCCTAACCCATCCGCCCACCCCCTCCCCTCTAGAACCCTCAGTTTGTTCCTCAGAGTCCATAGTCTCTCATGGTTTGTCTCCCCCTCCAATTTCGCCCCCTTCATTTTTCCCTTCCTACTATCTTTTTTTTTTTTTAACGTATAATGTATTATTTGTTTCAGAGGTACAGGTCCGTGATTCATCAATCTTAACACAATTCACAGCAGTCACCATAGCACATACCGTTCCCAGTGTCTATCACCCCATCCCTCCCACCCCCCACCACTCCAGCAACCCTCAGTTTGTTTCCTGATTTTTGAAGATTTTGTTTTTAAGTAAAACTCCAATATGGGGCTTGAACTCAGAACCCGAACTCACAATCCTGAGATCAAGAGTCTCATGCTCTACTGATTGAGCCAGCCAGGCTCCCCTAAATATATTTTTAATATAGGTTTTGCATCCGTATTTTAAAATTCAGTGAATAAATATTTGAATGCTTAGTATGTCTAGAAAGCTTTGTGGTAGGTGTTTGTATACTGTTGTTAATAAGACAAACAGGATCTCTTATGTGATCTGAATTAATAATCTCAATTAAGTGAATGATTTTTTTTTATTTTTTTTATTTTTTTTTTTTAAGATTTTATTTATTTATCTGAGAGAGAGAATGAGAGAGAGAGAGCATGAGAGGGAAGAGGGTCAGAGGGAGAAGCAGACTCCCTGCTGAGCAGGGACCCCGATGTGGGACTCGATCCCGGACTCCAGGATCATGACCTGAGCCGAAGGCAGTCGCTTAACCAACTGAGAGCCACCCAGGCGCGCTAAGTGAATGATTTTTAAAAATTACTTCCTTGTGTTTCTGGCCTTCCCAGATGAATTTCTTACACATTTAATTGAAAAGTAGTTAAAGTCCTCTTAATTGCTTCTAGTAGTGAACATTTTTTTTTTAAGATTTTTATTTATTTATTGAGAGAGAGAGAATGGTAGAGAGAGAGCATGAGAGGGAGGAAGGTCAGAGGGAGAACCAGACTCCCTGCTGAGCAGGGAGCCCAACGCGGGACTCGATCCTGGGACTCCAGGATCATGACCTGAGCCCAAGGCAGTCACCCAACCAACTGAGCCACCCAGGCACCCAGTAGTGAACATTTTTCCCTATTCTCATAAGTTGGCTCATTATATAGATTATATGTATTTTTTATTAACATGACCCTGAGATCAAGTGTTGCATGCTTTACAGACTGAGCCAGCCAGGTGCCCTAGATCATATATATATATTTTTTTATTATGTTATGTTAATCACCATACATTACATCATTAGTTTTTGATGTAGTGTTCCATGATTCATTGTTTGCGTATAACACCCAGTGCTCCACGCAGAACGTGCCCTCTTTAATACCCATCACCAGGCTAACCCATCCCCCCACCCCCCTCCCCTCTAGAACCCTCAGTTTGTTTTTCAGAGTCCATCGTCTCTCATGGTTCATCTCCCCCTCCGATTTGCCTACCTTCATTCTTCCCCTCCTGCTATCTTCTTCTTCTTTTTCTTTCTTTTTTTTTTTTTAAACATACAATGTATTATTTGTTTCAGAGGTACAGATCTGTGATTCAACAGTCTTGCACAATTCACAGCGCTCACCATAGCACATAGCCTCCCCAATGTCTATCACCCAGCCACCCCATCCCTCCCACCCCCACCACTCCAGCAACCCTCAGTTTGTTTCCTGAGATTAAGAATTCCTCATATCAGTGAGGTCCCTAGATCATATTTTTAAAGATGATTTCAGAGCTATTAAGAGATATTTGTTTTAATGAATTGAATTTTTTTGTGTGTGAGAGAAAGGAAGAAATGACTCTAATATTGCTAAGTTGATTGCCTTTTCATTATTATTTATTAGCTATTTGGATTTAAAAGTAATTTATGCAGTTTGTATGTAGGCATATTTTAAAGTTTATGTTCAGGTATGACTTTGTATGCCCTAACTCCATGTCAGGCCTGTGCTGATCTCTGTAGGGCCTTAATGTTTCCTCCTAGCCCTGCACCAAGGTGGATGGCTTGGAGAGCAAAGCTCAGGCTGATTTCAAGTCTCATTGGTCCCTCAGCCTGGCAGTGCACAACCACATGCAGCAGCCCTTTCCATCTTGTTATTTTCCATTTCTGTGACTTATTTATCAAAGTATTTCCCATACAATAGTGTTTATAAACCTACTTATGGTTTAGGTTACATTTAAAGGGAAATCCATCTTTAACTTGTATATATACATTTTTTTCTTTTCAATGTACCACAAATGTTATCCATGTTTTATAATGCCAGCTTTTTTCCTTGCATTGTAGGATGCAACTTTCAACTGCACTTAAAAAAAACCTGGAGAAAATTAACCCCAAGACTAGGTATGTTTGTTTTTTTCTTTTTTCTTTTTTTCTGAATTTGTTAAGGCTGAGAGTAAGAAGGGAGATCTGCATAATGACTTTAGGTTTCTGAATTTTTTTTAATTAGCTGTCAGTGCCAACCACCTTTATCTGGGGAATAAGAAAAGTGACGGAATTTTTGTGGGCCCTCTTCAGCATTATAATTTTTACAGTCCTCTGACATTTTGTTTGGATTGCAATACTGAGAAGCAAAGGGGATTTTTAGCCAGACAGTCTGAAAGGAAGGAAGGAAGCTTTTTGAAGGAAGATTTTTTAAAAGTTTAGTTTTATTCAGTATTTACTGTAAAACAGGGATAGGGCTATCTCATTTATCCAATAACCCGGGAATTGGGTTATTGAGATAGGAATGAGACATGAATGAGACAGGAAGTATATGCCTCATTTTTCACTGGCAGAAATGAGCTTGTATATGTTAAACTATTTGCCAAGGAATAGAAAATTAAAAACTCGGGCAGTCAAGGTTCTCTATAATCTGATCCTTTGTGTATGGCCTCAGGGGCCTTACCTGTGCTCTTATCTTTCAAAGCTCTAAAAAAATCTTGTGATAAAAGATTCCCTCCCATTAACACTGGGAAAGTGTTAAGATGCATCTGGGCACTTCCCCTTTCTGGGTGTCTTAGTTCAGACTGATAATGTATTCTCCCCATATTCCATATAACTCCAGGATTACATAAATCCTAAAATATGAATTTGGGCCCTCTTAACAATTGCTCCTCCATTAAAGGTGAGCTTTAAACATTCTTGAGTTAAAGAGGTACAGGACAAACTGAGCTCCAAAGAGACAGAAAGGCCAAATAGGCTGAGGTAGTAGTGCCTTTAGCAAGTTTTAAAATTTACAAACCAGTATAGCTGTAACTAGTAGAAAATGAGTTTAGCTTTCACAGGTCTATGCAAAGATTTACATTTTCAGCCTCCTCAACAAACTCCTTCTGCATGCAATGTTTCTCATGCCTGGCCGATATCAGAATAATTAGTATTATCACAGTGATCACATTGCTGGTCCCATCCCAAACCTACTGACTCAATCTCTGAGGCCAGATGGGCATGATGGGGGTCATGTGGTGATCTGCATTCAACATCCTCCCAAAGGATTGTGGCACTTTGAAGTATAAGAACCATTGTTCTTACCCAGTCTTATTTTACACTCTTTGGCTCCAGCTATACCAAACGAGGTAATCTAGGTAATTACTTCATGTCCTTTAAGATTCAAGAGTTTCCCTTGTTCTACTCCGTGCACACCTGTTTCAGTACTGGTTGTAATGAAACCATACTATAGTTGTGGTTCCATTTTTCTCTTTCAGCAGATTCTTTTCCTCTTGGTGTTTTACTTTGCTTTATATTCCTGGTGCCTGCACAGGTCTTAGCATATAGTAGGTAATCAGAAATATTTGTTGAAGACATGAGGGTAAGAAGCAGCTTGAATATTCACTGAAACTATTCTCTATGATGCTATAATGGTGAATACATGTCTTTATACATTTGTCAAACCCATAGAATGTACACCACCAAGAATGAACCCTAATGTAAATTATGGGCTTTGGATGATAATGATATGTTAAATGTAGATTCATCATTTGTGATGAATGGACCTTTCTGGTGGGGGATGTTGATAGTTGAGGAGGCCATGTGTGGTGGGGGACAGGGGCATATGGGCTTACCTTCTATTCAGTTTTGCTGTGAGCCTAAAACTGCTCTAAAAAATAAAGTCTATTTTTTAAAAAAAGCAACTTATTAGCATGTTATTAGGGCTTTTTCTCCAAAATAGTAGATTTTTAGAAATGTTCCTACATGCTTAAATTTCATATTTTTTGTTGTCTGTGAAAACAAATTTTTTAGGGAAATGCATCTCTAATTTTATTTTTTTATTTTTAAAAAAAGATTTTATTTATTTATTTATTTGACAGAGAGAGAGAGCAAGAGAGGGAGCACAAGTGGGAGGGGGGTGGGAGAGGAAGAAGCAAGTGTTCCCCCCCCTGCCGCTGAGCAGGGAGCCCGATGCAGGACTCGATCCCAGGACCCTTGAGATCACGACCTGAGCTGAAGGCAGATGCTTAACGACAGCCACCCAGGCGCCCCTCTAATTTTATTTTTTTTAATTTATTTTTTGCATCTAATTTTAAAGATTTATTTATTTATTTGAGAGAGAGAGCCTAAGTGTAGTGGGGAGGGGCAGAGGGAGAGAGACGCTTAAGCCGACTCTGTGCTGAGTGCAGAGACCCATGTGGGGCTCGATCTCATGACCCTGAGATCACAACCTGAACTGAAACCAAGTACGACACTTAACTGACTGCTCCACCCAGGTTCCCCTACACCTCTAATTTTATTTTATTTTGGGGGTTTTTTTTTTTGCACCTCTAATTTTTTTTTTTAATATTTATTTATTTATTTGACAGAGAGAGACACAGCGAGAGAGGGAACACAAGCAGGGGGAGTGGGGGAGGGAGAAGCAGGCTTCCCGCTGAGCGGGGAGCCCGATGCTGGGCTCGATCCTAGGACCCTGGAATCATGACCGGAGCTGAAGGCAGGCGCTTAACGACTGAGCCACCCAGGCGCCCCGCACCTCTAATTTTAAACAGTTTAGTTTATATAAACTTTTCCAGGTTTATTTTGTTAAAAGTTGACTTTCTATTGAAGTATAAGTAAATTTCATGAAAGGAAAAACATAGTAATTGATTTGTTCATTAATGATATTTATTATTTTTAATTAAGGTTAACAAATCATTTTTTAATTCCTTTTCAGTGTGCTCATGGATAACATGAAACATGTATTAAAGCTAAACAAATTAATAATGAAATCACACCAGGTAACTGCACATTGGGCTGCTTATGCATTCTCATGATTTCAGTAACTTGTTGCTGGCAACTGTATTGTGTATGATTATATAGGATTACCAAAAGGTTACTGGTATGATTGGAATTCTCTGTTCTTAAGTTTTCTTTTTTTCATAACTCAGTTATTTCTGACTATTGTGGCTAATTACTAAAATTTAAGCTACTGTCCTTTTTCTTTTTTGGTACAGAAATAAAGGGATTGAAAACTGGAGGTTTGGAAAACATGGGCTAATAGATAAAATTCAGTGATGTAAGTGTTAGAGGTTTGTTCTTAGGTAATGTGTCTTAATCTTTTTATTTTTAATAACAGGAATCTTGGGATTTGGAGGAAAAACTACTTGATGTTAGGAAGAAGAGATTACGTATGTAGAACAGTTTTTTTGTTTTTGTTTTTGTTTGTAGAAAACATTTTCACTTACAGTGGAGATTGCCAGTTATCTCAATCATTGAGAAATTTCTTAATTTTCAGATTTTCTTAAAATTTTACACATGGCATTTTTAAAATTAGTACGTAAAATGTTTTTCACTTGATTCATTTCTGTTGTTTTAGAACTTTAAATCACAAAATTAATACATTCTCAGGGAGGACGCCTGGATGGCTCAGTCAAGCGTCTGCCTTTGGCTCAGGTCATGATCCCAGGGTCCTGGGATCGAGCCCCACATCAGGCTCCCTGCTCCGCGGGAAGCCTGCTTCTCCCTCTCCCACTCCCCCTGCTTGTGTTCCCTCTCTCGCTGTGTCTCTCTCTGTCAAATAAATAAATAAAATCTTAAAAAATATATATATATATATTCTCAGGGAGAAAAAATCAAATGATACAGAAAAGTATAATGTGAAAGCCATACTTCCTTCCTGGGTGACCACAGTTAGGCATAATCATTCCAGTACTTTTTCCATGTCCATATAAACATATTTATATATACATAATTTTAAGTTATCATTTGATACATATGATTCTACAGCTTTTTAACTTAATGAACATGAGATAGCTTTTTGCATTGAAATTATTGAAATGTTTTTTTTTAAAGTAATACACATTTTCAGTAGAATTTGGAAACAAAAATATACTTAGGGAAAGTAAAATTTTATAATTTACTATGAAGAGATAATCACTCTTCAGTGCTTTTTTTTTTAAGATTTTTATTTATTTGAGAGATTTGAGAGCGAGAAAGCACAAGCGGGGTGAGGGGCAAAGGGAGAAGCAGGCTCTTTGCTGAGCAGGGAGCCCAATGTGGGGTTCAATCCCGGCACTCCGGGATCACTACCAGAGCCGAAGGCAGCCATCTAACTGAGCCACCCAGCTGCCCCCACCCTTTTTTTTTTATTATTTTTTATTTTTTTATTTTTTTTTTAAAGATTTTATTTTATTTGACAGAGAGAGCACAAGCAGAGGGAGAGAGAGGGAGAAGCAGGCTCCCTGCTGAGCAAGGAGCCCGATGTGGGACTCGATCCCAGGACTTAACCGACTGAGCCACCCAGTCGTCCCCCCTTTTTTTTTTTTTAAGATTTTATTTATTTTCTTTATTTGAGGGGGGAGAAGGAGTGAGCATGAGCAGGGGAAGGGGCCGAGGGAGAGAGAGAATCTCAAGCAGATTCCATGCTGAGTGTGGAGCCAGGCACAGGGTTTGATCTCACAACCCTGAGATCATGACCTGAGTAGAAATCAAGTCAGACCCTTAGCTGACTGAGCCTTGCAGGGCTTCGGTGCTTATTTCTTATCTAATAAAATTGGCCTCATTTTATTCTATGTTGTAAACTGCCTTTTTCATTTAATAGTATAGGCATGATTTATTATTTTTAAATATTACACAGATTTGCCTGTTTGTAAGTAATCTCTGGGTCAGAAGTAGTTCCGCTCATCTGATCTAATCACTCTTTGGATGTTTTAATGTTTTTCCATCTCATTCCAACCTGTTTTTGATCCATTTATATCAAGGAACCAAGCTCCTGGGACACCCCCATTTATGTTTTCAAATAGTTTAATTCTTAGAACATTTCAGGAACTATAATGATGATGTGTTTATCCCTGGAGAAGAGAATCTCTTATTGAAAATTTATGTTGTTGATGTGTCATTTTTGTAAATAAAGGAGGAAATGGTATTTCCTTATGTATCTTCTGCCTTCCTTTTGGCAACCCTGAGTAAGTCCTCTTTAACACTTCAAACATAAGTAGACAGCTGTCATTATCATATGTACATACCCTGAACATATTTCATGCAGGACATTGCTAAGGATAAAATTAAAATACTGGTATTTTTCACCACGAAAGTCATTTTCAGATCAAAATGGAACTGCAACTTAAAATGATGCTTATTAAATATTTTCTCATGACTGATATAGTCAGGAACTGTTCTGCTTCACAGTTTTTCCAGATTCTTGTTTGTAGGAGTTGTTAAATATAGTATTTTTTTAACCTAATAGAATTAAAACAAGCTTCAGAAAGTAAGCTTTTAGAAATACAGACTGAAAAGAACAAACAGAAAAATGATTTGGCCAATATGGAAAATTCAGACAAGATAAAGACCATACAACAAAACCTGCAGATGGAGATACAAATTACGACAGTTATTCAACATGTGTTTCAGGTAATATTTATATAAGGAAAGTAGGTAAAGAACTTTTAAAAATGATTTGTTCTGTTACTTTCAGATTTGCTTTCAGTTTTTGATCCTGAAAAAATCATGAATTCAATACTAAATATTAGTCTGTTTACCTATATTTGGAATTTATATCTATTTAATGTTTAAGGCTTTGACTTTTCATTATGGTTAGATCTTAGGCATTTATAGTGGAATGATTTTAGCTTTGTGGAGACAGGTATAATGGTGGAAAGCATTAGAACTTAAACTTGGGAGGTGGGGGAAAACATGGATGGGGTGATGGAGAATCTAGAATCACGATCCATACTGCAACTTAATAGTTGCGAACCTTGAGCAAATTATTTAAGTTTTCTAAACATCAGTTTCCCTGTTTAGAAAAAGAGGTTGTAAAACATAAAGAAGGTAATTCATGTTAATCTGTCTAGCATAATGTCTGGTCTAAGTAAATTTTCAATAAATGTCGGTAGTTATTACCATATTACCTCTTAAATTTTATGTGTTCCTTTATTCTGGAGGGTTTTCATTTCTCTTTTGAATTATAAAATGTCTCAAACTGTTGAGGTGAAATACTTAAATTACCAGATTTCAATTAGGAAGATATACAGTTAAAACTGCCCATTATGTGTAAAGTAAATATTTATTATTATGTGTAAAGCATATCCTTGTAGAATGTGAGTTCTTATATCTGACCGTAAGAAATTCTTCCTCGGGTCTTTTTTTAAGATTTTATTTATTTATTTATTCATTCATTCATTCATTTATTTGACAGAGAACAGAAGCAGTGGGAAGGGAGAAGTAGGGGGAAAGAATCTGAAGCAGACTCCACGCTGAACATAGAGCTGTCGTGGGTTCATTCTCATGACCCTGAGATCATGACCTGAGCCAAAACCAAGAGTTAGATGTTTAACCATCTGAGCCACCTAGGCACCCCTCTTCATCAGGTCTTAAACCTACCTTTTAGTAGCAGAGCTTTACTCTATTAGGAGTAAAGAAGTCCCTTAGACTAACCTCCAGTGGAGGATTGCATAAGTACAGGATCATTTTTTTTTTTTAAGATTTTATTTATTTGACAGAGACACAGCAAGAGACGAAACACAAGCGGGGGAGTGGGAGAGGGAGAAACAGGCTTCCCGTGGAGCAGGGAGCCCGATGCGGGGCTCGATCCCAGTACCCTGGGATCATGACCTGAGCCGAAGGCAGATGCTTAATGACTGAGCCACCCAGGAGCCCCAGTACAGGATCATTTTAATTTTCTTTGGCACATGTTCCTTCCTACTGCTTTGAGACTTGTATTATTTTGTCTTTCTTAGCTTTTATTCATATCTTCTTAGTGTTAATTTTGATTTAATGAAATCATTGCTTTGCTAAGCAGAACATAGCTTTGGCTGCATTTGGAGCTCCTGCCCCTAATGGGTTCAGTCATATTTGAATGTTTACTTCCCCTTGCCTTTGTAAATTTAATTGGATTTATATATTATATACACCAGCCCAGTAGCAAGAATGTTCCATGTATAGGACAAATTTTTAAATATTTTTATATATAACAATATAACACTTAAATTCTAAAATCTATTTGAACAGGATTTGAGTTAGTCACTTGGTATCATTGAGCCATAGTTTTTCTTTTCTTTTTTTTTTTTTTTTAAAGATTTTATTTATTTATTTGACAGAGAGACACAGAGAGAGCAGGAACACAAGCAGGGGGAGTGGGAGAGGGAGAAACAGGCTTCCCGTGGAGCAGGGAGCCCGATGCGGGGCTCGATCCCAGTACCCTGGGATCATGACCTGAGCCGAAGGCAGACGCCTAATGACTGAGCTACCCAGGCGCCCCATAGTTTTTCTTTTTAAATAAATAGGGCATGGCCGCCTGGGTGGCTCAGTCATTAGGCGTCTGCCTTCGGCTCAGGTCATGATCCCAGGGTCCTGGGATCGAGTCCCACATCGGGCTCCCTGCTCAGCGGGAAGCCTGCTTCTCCTTCTCCCACTCCCTCTGCTTGTGTTCCCTCTCTCGCTGTGTCTCTCTCTGTCAAATAAATAAATAAAATCTTAAAAAAAATAAAAATAAATAGGGCATAACAGTTTATGCTTAAATTGTTTTTCACTGTAGAAGTGCAAAATGACTGAACCACAGCTGCAGTCTTTTTCCTTTAATCTAAAATACCATGGCAAACATCCCTAGTAGGTAAAAGCTGTCTCCAAAAACTGATGAAGCCAAAAAAAAAATTGTTGTAAACATTGTAAATAGTCCCTAGCATTATGGGGATTGAGGCTGAACCCTTACTGAAAGTGGAAATGAGGATACAAGAATGTATTTTTCTTTTTTTAATAGATTTTATTTATTTATTCATTTATTTGAGAGAGAGAGTGCGTGCGTAAGTAGGAGGAGGGGGCAGAGGGAGAGGGAGAGAGAATCTGAAGCAGCAAACTCTCCCCTTAGGGGGTGGAGTGTGGGGGGGGTGCTCGATCTCAATACTGCAAGATCAGGACCTGAGCCAAAACCAAGAGTTGGACTCTTAACTGACTCAGCCACCCAGGCGCCCCAAGAATGTATTTTTTCATAGAGTAGATGCCCATACCTAGTGTGGTAAATATTTGATAAGATTAGTAAAAGAGGGGGGCACCTGGGTGGCTCTATGGGTTAAGTGTCTGCATTTGGCTCAGGTCATGCCGGGATCTAGTCTGCCCCATATAGGACTCCCTGCTCAGTGGGGAGCCTGCTTCTTCCTCTCCCTCTGTTCCTCCCCCCTGCTCATGCTCGCTCTCTTGCTTTCTCTCTCAAATAAATAAATAAAATCTTAAAAAACAATTAGTGAAAGAGGATTTTTTAAAAATCTTGTTATTTTTTAAACGTACTTATAACTTTAACAAATTTTTTTTCTTTTTTTTATTACAGAACCTCATTTTAGGAAGTAAAGCCAATTGGGCAGAGGATTCTGCCTTTAAGGAAACCGTTCTACAGCTTGAGAAGAATCTCACCATGATCTAATAAGAATTCTGTTTTATTTTTTGTTTCAGTCTTTAATATGTCATTTAAATAGCAAATTTAAAGTAAAATTTTTATTTAGTGTTTTTGGAACTAATATTGCAAAGTTTTTGTAGCTTAACACTATAACATGGAATTTGTTCTTTCAACTATGTTAATTAAAATGACTGGCATTCTCTAAAACAATCTGACAGTCTTAGCTTTGCAAGGGCCCCGAAAGACATCTAATCTAGCTTTCCATTGAATGTGGACATTTTTTCTGCAACATTTCTGGCAGTCCCAACTCTTACTTGGAATACTTCTTCTTTTTTTCTTTTTCTTTTCTTTTTTCATTTCTCTTTCCTCTTCCTCCCTCCCTCTCTTTCTTTCTTTCTTGTTTCAAGTTTTTATTTAAATTCCAGTTAGTTAACATACAGTGTTTCAGGAGTAGAATTTAGTGATTCATCACTTACATATGACACCCCAGTGCTAATCACAACAAGTGTCCTCAATACCCTTCACCCATTTAACCCATCCCTCCACCCCTCATTATTTGGAATACTTTTTTGTATTTGTCAGTCAACTAAAATATTACAAAAATTAGAAAAGGGTATCGACATCTTGATGTTTTTTCAACTATCAGTTGTATTTTATTGAAATAAATCTCATTTTAATCTCAACACAAATTCTTTTTTTGCCTCTTTTTTTTTTAATACAGAGATATAATCGACATAGCATTGTGTAAGTTGAAGGTATACAATGGGTTGATTTGACCACCATGGCATTAGCTCACATCTCTATCATGTCACATAATTATTTCTTTTTTGTGGTGAGAACATTTAAGATCATAGTAACTTGGAAGTATATAATATTGTTAACTATAATCACAATGCTGTGCATTCAATCTCCAAAAACTTACTCATCTTCTAACTGCATTTTTGTACTCCGTGACCAACATCTCCCCAAGTCCCCCACACCCCATCCGCATCTTTGTTTATTTTCCCATCCATCCACATCTTTAAACAGAAACCCAAATAAAGCACCTCAACCTTGAAAAACAAAAAAGATAAACACTTCCAAAATGTTAAGACTTGTGGTTATTATAGAGTAATTGTGACTTCTTTATTTTGTACTTCTATATCACATATTACTTTTATAAGTAAAAAGTAAAAAGAGTAAATGTTACTCTTTCTTATTAATAACTTGACCTTGCTGGGGTGCCGGTCTGGCTCAGTCGGTAGAGCATGCGACTCTTGATCTCAGGGTCGTGAGTTCAAGCCCCACATTGGGTATACAGATTACTAAAAATATATAAACTTAAAAAAAAAAAAACTTGCTATCTTTTATAGTGTCCCATCCCTTTTTAGAGAAAGCTGTAACTTGAGTTCTTTATTAGTTTGGAGCTATTAATCATTTTCATAGACAGTGTAGTGTTTTCAACATTCTTTTTCTTTTTTTAAAGATTTTATTGGTTTGAGAGAGAATGAGTGGGGGGAAGGGCAGAGGGCCAAGTGGACTCCCTGCTGAGCAGGGAGCCTGTTGAGACTCAATCCCAGAACCCTGAGATCATAACCCAAGCTTAACTGATTGAGCCACCCAAGTGCCCCTCAACACTTTCTTTTTTTTTTTTTTAAGATTTTATTTATTTATTTGAGAGAGAGAATGAGAGAAAGCACGAGAGGGAAGAGGGTCAGAGGGAGAAGCAGACTCCCTGCTGAGCAGGAAGCCCGATGTGGGACTCGATCCCGGGACTCCAGGATCATGACCTGAGCCGAAGGCAGTCACTCAACCAACTGAGCCACCCAGGCGCCCCCCTCAACACTTTCTTAAGAAGGACTTTAAACTTGAAAAGATACACTGTAGTGGATAATAGCATTTGAAATCTGTTCTTTAGATCAATAATGGAAATACAGAGATTAGTCTAAATTTGAATTCTAAATACTTTTCTTTGAAATATTTACGGTCTTCATTTGTTTTGATAAATTATAATTTATGTGTAGTTTTATTCTTTTGGCCATAGTGTATTCTTGGATATTGTCTATATAAATTATTATAAAACAAGTTTTATGTATACATATGTACATATATGCATATATAGACATACATATGTACATATATATATACTTTTTTTTAAGATTTATTTATTCTAGAGCGAGAGTAGGCACGCAAGCAGGAGGAGGGGCAGAGGGAGAGAATCCGTCAAGCAGACTCCTCGCTGGGAACGGAGCACAAAGCAGGGCTCTATCCGCCCCCCACCCATGAGATCATGACTGGAGCCGAAACCAAGAGCTGGAAGTTCAACTAACCGAGCCACCCAGGCGCCCCAACAAGTTTTAGTTTTAATTTTTTAATTATTTTTTTAAAAGATCTTGATAGAGACACAGCGAGAGAGTGAACACAAGCAGGGGGAGTGGGAGAGAGAGAAGCAGGCCTCCCGCAGAGCAGGGAGCCCGATGTGGGGCTCGATCCCAGGACCCTGGGATCCTGACCTGAGCTGAAGGCAGACGCTTAACGACTGAGCCACCCAAGCACTCCCAAGTTTTATTTTTCTTATAGGAAAGCATTATTCTGAAAAGTACCTTCCTGATGTAAAGATTCAGAATCATCTAAAAATCTTTTTGCATTTTCCTGAGATTTTCTTATCCTTTGTATTCCCTTCTAAAGACCAAATCTGAGACAGAAATTTCATTAGTCAGTTTTTCCTCAAGTGCTGAATAACAACTCCCTGGCTTAACAACAAACATACCGCCCTTGGATCCATAGTGTGGCTGATCATTGGAGGAGCTGAGGAGCATCCACTGTCTGAAACATTCTCATGGTTTATGTGGCGAAGTCAAATTACACAAGCACATTTAAACTTTCTACTTGGGGGACACCTGGGTGGCTTAGTTGGTTAAGCATCTACCTTTGGCTCAGGTCATGATCTCAGGGTCCTGGGATCGAGCCCCACATCGGGCTCCTTGCTCAGTGGGGAGCCTGCTTCTCTGCCTGCTCTGCCTGCCGCTCCCCCTGCTTGAGCTGTCTCCCTCCCCGACATAAAGAAAGTCTTTTTTTAAAAATAAAATTTCTACTTGGAAGAGGTGTACATTGTTTCTACCAAGGCTCCATTCACCAAGCCAAACATCACTGGGATAGGAAAGTATACTTCTCCCACGGTAGGGGAGTGCTAGGTTTCAGAATGGGGGGAAGAAAATGGGTATCTGCTGAAAAGAATACAGTCCACTACAGTATGTAGTCTTGGTCTTAAAAATTAACCTACCTTTTGCACATAAAAGACACACCCTTCCCCAAGGAAAGTAAGTTAACAGTGTCATCCAATCATAACAGTTTCAAAGTTCGGGATCTCATGATAGTCTTTCACATCAGGTCCAGATGTGGCTCTTCATGATCTGGAGATTAATGAACTGAAAAGACAAATTCTGTTGCTTCACATAGCCAGCATACAATAGTGGACAAGGTTAGCAATTCTGAAATACTGCTTGGCAAATGATAGGAGGTGCCCCTTCCTAGGAGAGGGAACACCTTATGATTAGGCTCTTATGCTGCTCATTGAAAGAGGTTATTTTGTCATTTCTGACTCTGACCTTTGCTAAGTTCCCCCACCCTTTTTTAAAAAAAAGATTTTATTTATTTGATAGAGACACAGCAAGAGAGGGGACAGAAGCAGGGGCAGAGGGAGAGGGAGAACCGGACTCCCCGCTGAGCAAAGAGCCCGATGTGGGACTCGATCCCAGGACCCTGGGATCATGACCTAAGCCAAAGGCAGACGCTTAACAACTGAGCCACCCAGGCACCCAAGTTCCCCCTTTCCATGACTAACCTTGGACATATCTGAAGAGGGCATTAGAGAGTATGTCCTGAGCAGCTTCCTCAATTGGGGACACATCATTTTACATCTCAGTCTCAAATTCTGGGCTGTGGTGCTTTTGTTAGTGTGTGTGTATATATATATATATGTATGTATATATATATATATTTTTTTTAAGATTTTATTTATTTATTTGACAGAGAGATAGAGAAAGAGCACAGGTAGACAGAGTGGCAGGCAGAGGGAGAGGGAGAAGCAGGCTGTCTGCTGAGCAGGGAACTGGATGTGGGGCTCGATCCCAGGACCCTGGGACCATGACCTGACTGAAGGCAGACACTTAACGACCGAGCCATCCATGCGCCCCTGTTAGTATATATTTTAAATGTGGTTGATGGTGGTGATCACAGTTGCTTTGGTTGGTTGTTTCATTTATATCAGAGGTCAGTAAACTCTGGCTTACCAGCTGGCTCTTTTTATAAATAAAGTTTTGTTGGAACAAAGCTAATGCCCATAGATTCACATATTATCTATGGCTTCTTTCCCTCTACACTAGTGTATTTGAGTTGAACTGAGTAACTGTAAGAGATTATATGCACTGGCACCCTATTTTTCTTATAGTCACTGACTTAAACCAGTTGACTTAAAGAAAGTTTTCTGTTGTGATTTGTCTGATTGCTTCCTAGTAGCTTATATAGCTTGTTTCACATCTGTATTCCTTTAAACTAGAAGGTAGATCTGCTTTATTAAATGCAGTTTCAATATTTTTTGTATTTTCAAATTAAAAAAAATTTTTTTAAGATTTTATTTATTGGGTGCCTGGGTGGCTCAGTCGTTAAGTGTCTAAATTTAGTGTCTAAATAAAAAGATTTTAGGGGTACCTGGGTGGCTCAGTCGTTAAGCATCTGCCTTCAGCTCAGGTCATGATCCACGGTCCTGGGATCTAGCCCTGCATGGGGCTCCCTGCTCAGCGGGAAGCCTACTCTCCCTCTCCCACTCCCCCTGCTTGTGTTCTCCCTCTCTCGCTGTGTGTCTCTCTGTCAAATAAATAAAATCTTTTTATTTATTTATTTTTTATTCATTTTTTAAAAAGATTTTATAAATAATTTATTTATTTATTTATTTATTTATTTTTAAAGATTTTATTTATTTATTTGACAGAGAGAGACACAGTGAGAGAGGGAACACAAGTAGGGGGCGTGGGAGAGGAAGAAGCAGGCTTCCCGCGGGGCCGGGAGCCCAAAGCGGGGCTCGATCCCGAGACCCTGGATCATGACCTGAGCTGAAGGCAGACGCTTAACGACTGAGCCACCCAGGTGCCCCAGGAGTTTCAAATTTTTTTATCAAGAAAAAACTCACCGAGTTGTACTTGGTACTTTTTATTTATTTATTTGTTTGTTTATTTATTTAGGTTTTATTTGTCAGAGAATGAGCACAAGCAGGGGGAGCGGCAGGCAGAGGGAGAAGCAGGCGCTCTGCTGAGCTAGGAGCCCGATGCGGGACTCAATCCCAGGACTCCGGGATCATGACCAGAGCCAGAGGCAGATGCTTAACCGACTGAGCCACCCAGGTGCCCCTGTATATATGTACTTTATATTGCATCACATCAGGAGACTGACATGCATGGTGAGTTTTGCCTAAAGGTCTACAGCCAATGTCAGAAAAGGGAACATGAAACAAGAAAAGTAGTCAAAGGCCAAGTAGATAGAGACATTTAAGAATACATAATACAAGAAGTAGAATCAGATGGTGTGCTCCAGGTTCATGAGAATAGCCAAATAATAGTATTGAGAGTGTAGACAGAAATCACAGGACCTGAGTGGGGTCAGTAATCAAATGATCTGATGACATACCTGATGGTGACTGATAGAAACTGATTAGCAGTAGGAAAAGAAGACATGATTTGAGGGATGAGGCAAGTTGCTCCTTCCACTTTAACTACTTTTATCATCTACTTTCATCCTAGAGAGAATTAATTTATAAGAGAGCTGGATGAGAATTCTGTGGAGTATGAATATCAACACTTAGAAATAAATTCACAAGTAAAGAAAAGTCATATTTTCCTGGCTGAGATTCCCCAAAACAAAATCCATACCAATATGACCAGTAATTTGCACTGCATTTGACATTTTCTGAAATTTATTATCAGGTATTCCCAGGAGACTTCTTTGTATTTGAGGACTTGGAAAGTTTTGTTTTTTTCTTTTTCTTTTCTTTCTTTCTTTCTTTCTCTTTCTTTCTTTCTTTTTCTTTCTTTCTTTCTTTTTCTTTCTTTTTCTTTCTTTTCTTTCTTTTCTTTCTTTCTTTTTTTAGACTTTATTTATTTTAGAGAAAGAGACAGTGCCAGCAGGGGGTTGGGGGGAGGGACAAGCAGACTCTGCGTTGAGCCCATATGGAGCTAGATGTGGGGCTTGATCCCAGGATGCCAAGATCATGACCTGAACTGAAATCAAGAGTCCGACTGAGCTACCCAGGTACCCCTGGAAAGTTTATTTTTTAATAAAATCTCTAAATTATGGGACTTCTTTTTCCATAATCATTTCTTAAATATAGTCATAAAGGAAAATGAAAAACATTTATTTAGAAAAGTAACTAAGAAAGTCTATGTCTTTTAAATGACCTTAGAATGAGAATCTAGGGAATGTCTGGGTGGCTCAGTTAAACATCTGCCTTCAGCTCAGGTCATGATCCTAGAGTCCTGGGACTAATCCCCACATCGGGCTCCCTGTTCAGCACAGGGAGCTTCTCCCTCTCCCTCTGCCTGCTGCTCCCCCTGCTTGTGCTCTCTCTCTCTCTCTTTCTCTCTGTCAAAAAAAATAAAATCTTTTTAAGAAATAGAATGAGAATCTAATACTGTAAATATTCACATAGAAACTTGCTGTTTCTCTGTGTGTAAACGAAAAGTCTTTGTACTAGAAATCTAAGCTTCTGCTGCTTTTGAGCTTTTCTTCCCTAGCTGTATTGAGATCATTGACAAATAAAATTGTAAGATGTTTAAAGTGTACAACTTCATTTGGTGTACATATACACTGTGAAGAGATTCACACACTTAAGAGTTAACACATCACCACTTTTGAGCTTTAAGAACACATTATGTGGTTTCACCAGTGGTGGCTTAAAACAATTTTTTTAATAGCCTATTTTTTAGAGCAGTTTTAGGTTCACAGAAAAATTGCAGAAAGTAAGAGTTCCCATATACTTACTGCTCCTACACATTCACAGTCTCCCCCACTAACACCATTTCTTACTAGAGTGGTATATTTGTTACAATTGAACCTATATTAATATGTCATTATTACCCAAAAGTGGTACATTCTATGGATTTTGACATGTAAAAAGACTCGTATCTACCATTATTGTATCATAATAGAATAGTTGCACTGTCCTAAAAACCATTATGCTCTGCCTATTTGTCCCTGGCAATCACTGATCTTGTTACTATCTCTATAATTTTGCCTTTTCCATAATGTCATGGAATCATTCAGTATGTAAGTTTTTCAAATACCATCTTTTACTCCTACCAAAGATGTGTTTGAGTGCCTGTGTTCCTACAACCTCCCCAGGATGTGTTATCCAAATTATGTATGTTGACAAGTTGGATGGGTGAAAATAGTGTTTCAGTGTAATTTAAACTTTATCAGAAGGGCCCATTTGGGGGCACAATAACATATTTCTTTTTTTGTTGTTGTTTTAAGATTTTATTTATTTATTTGACAGAGAGAGACACAGCCAGAGAGGGAACAGAAGCAGGGGGAGTGGGAGAGGGAGAAGCAGGCTTCCCGCGGAGCAAGGAGCCCGATGTGAGACTCGATCCCAGGACCTGGGATCATGACCTGAGCCGAAGGCAGACGTTTAACGACTGAGCCACTCAGGAGACCTCACAATAACATATTTCTAAGAAGCTTCCCAGATTTAGAAGCCACTGATCTAGGTCATCAAATGTGTCACTCTATTTAAAACAACTTATGGCTGGCTACATTACCTACAGAATTATGTTAAGTGGCTGCAACATATCATGTATTTAAAATTTATAACAACATAAACTAATATTTGCCACAAAATTTAATATAATTTTTAGGGAATGTTATGGAAGCATTACGCTTCAAAAAGAAAGACACACTTTTCTTTCATACTTGAAGCAGACAGTTTAATATCAGGATTAATGGTAGACCCTTTCAAGTAATGCCAGTAAGTGAGGGAATAATAAGTAGCCTAGTGTAGACCTGGAATTGACCACTCCCTGAGCCTGCCACTAACTCCCAAGTTTTAACGAAATAGTTCGTTTTAGGAAGCCACATGACTTTGTATTACTTATTTGGTTTCAGATTAAATTTTGTTCTCTACTTAAATTAGAAACTGGCTATCTGGAGAGGAAATGGCCCTAGTTTACTCGTAGGCTGATGTGCAGAACAAACCCAACACCACAAACCTTCGCCTGCAAAACTGAACAATGGGGAGCACGTGGGGCAGTTCCTAGGCGGGAAGTGGGGCGGGGTGGGGCGGGGCGGGGCCAGGCACAGAGGGTGGGTTAGCTCCGTAGTGGAGGAGGATCCGGGAATGCCCGCTCGTCCCTCCTCGGTGACGCCACAGGCAGGGCCCGCCCCCAGCTGCCCGGGATTCCTGTTATCTCTGCGCCTAGCGAGCGCCCCGGAAACTGCTGCCACATCCTGGGGTCATGATGGGCAGTAAGATGGCGTCTGCCAGCAGGGTCGTTCAGGTAAGGAAATTCGTTCGCTTTTTCGCACCGTGGGCGGTAGGGATACTGCTGATTATAGCAAAGGCGCTGGGGAGACAGGGCGGTGGCGGAGGCTGCGCGGTCACTGCGGCCTCGGGTAGCGCCAGCGACGCGGCCCGGGGGCATGTGTGAGAATTGGACCTTGAGCCCATTGGGTTGGGCAGTGAGCCGGGACTGTAGCTGAGGGTTCCAGCCAGGCTGCAGGACTGCAGTGTATCAGCACGTAGGCACAGAGCAGCTACGCGGCTCCCGGACTGTACTCCGCCAGGACCTCCATAGCTCTCTTAGGAGTCAGCGGGCTAGGCTGCCCTGGCAATAGTCTGGCCAATCGACGTTTAGCATTGTCTGTGATATCCCGGATCAGCCAATCGTAAGGACGGCGGTAACGGCAAGTGGAAGGAAGCGAACCTTGTATCTGACCCAGTGTCCCTTCAAGGTCTCGGGAATGGCCGTAGAACTGGCCCTGAGAGCTGCGTCCTTACCCCGGGCCTGTTCTCCCCCACCAGTCCAGGCGTCTAGTTACTGGCTGGATGGAGGGAGTTGGAGGGGGAAAAAGGTATTATTTAAGTTTTTCTATAATGCTTTACATTACAGATGTTGTTGGTTTCCCAAGCTTTTTTTCCCTTGAGTTTAGATTGGTAGCTAGAGGAACTTTGTTAATCCAAACATCAGTTACTAACTCCTGATAGCTTTTATGTTTGCTTCTCCAGCTGTGATTGCTTAAATTAAAAAGGAGAGGTAAAGTTGGTATATAAAGGGACACAACCTCCACATTTGTGGTTGTTTTACACAATCTGTGTAAAATATACTCTCAAAGTATATTACTGTATGATTTTTAACTTTGATATGATAAGCGCATTTACCTTTGCACAAATACACCTCTTAAAAAGACTTCTTAAAGTTGTTTCAGTTTGAAAGATAGTCCTAGATCCCAGCCTTTGGTCTCATTGCAAGGAATGATATTCAGTGGGTAGATACTGAGCATTAACTAATTAAAGATTCTGTGAGGACAAGGAGAACCTCTAACAAAGGACTGGTATCCATAATGTATAACCATACATATCCATAATATATAGCTCAATTTAAAAACGGGCTAAAAAGTTGAAACTGCACAAAAGAAGATACACAAATGAGCAATAAGCCTGTGAAATACTTGCCAGGACAATACAAATTAAAGCCAGGAAGTACTACTGCATCTACCAAAATTATTAAAATTTTAAAAACTGGCGGGGCATCTGGGTGGCTCAGTTGTTAAGCCTCTGCCTTCTGCTCAGGTCATGATCCCAGGGTCCTGGGATCGAGCCCCACATCGGGCTCCCTGCTCAGCGGGGAGCCTGCTTCTCCCTCTCCCACTCTCCCTGCTTGTGTTCCCTCTATCGCTGTCTCTCTCTGTCAAATAAACAAATTTTTTTAAAAATCTTAAAAAAAATTTTTTAAAAACTGGCAATACAGAGAGATGACAATGTGAAGCACCTAAAACCCAGTATAATTCGTATAGCCACTTTTTAAAGTCTGTTTTGTCAGTGTCTGGTAGTTAAACATTCATACCCTGTGACCTAACAATTTTACTCATAGGTTTATGCCCAAGAGAAATAACATACATTTATCTACAAAAAGACATAAAAATGTCTGAATGCCAAGCATATATATTTGATATATTTGGGCTGATGTAAGCAGAAAAATGATAATTTATCATTTACAAAATCATTTTGACTGCATGAGACATGAGACATGGGAAGAAGGTTTGAGATTTACCAGTGGAGTGAAGATACACTTCCGGGAAGGAGGTTGAGAGTGCTGGTTATAGAATATTGAATGGTCCCTGTGTTCTGGGCTAGATAAGAAATGAGGTAAAATCAGGGTGGAACCAGTTGACTGGAAAAAGGAACAATCAAAGAAATGAAGGGTTTGGTGAAGCTTACAGTGGGAAGTAACAGAGAAGAGTTATACGTTAAAAGGTTGTAGTTGAGGTTAGATTTTAGGTTATTTTAGGGACAATAAAGCTCTGAACTCAGTGAAGAATTAAAAGAATTTTTCAGAAGTAAATACTAAAGTAGAAGGAATATAAAGGTAAATAGGCAACTCAGAAGTTTTCTTAAAGGAATAGTGCATGAAAAGAGGAAAATGAAAAAAATCACAGAATAATGAAGGAAAAGAAGAATTCAGAGAAAGTCATAGAAGTAGATAAAAACAGGAAGCTGCAACTTTTGTATAATAAGTAGTCTGAAAAAGTAAAAGCAAATAGAACAAGTCTCAAAACCTGTAAGTTAATAAAACTTACCTGATGTAAAAGAAGACTTAAACCTCTACCTTAGGCTTGAGAGAATTAACCAACTGTGTTTGACTAATGGGTATATTCTAGTAGAATCTTGAAATTTTTTTTTAAGATTTATTTATTTGAGAGAGAGAGCACACGTACGCGCAAGTGCTCACATGGGGAGGAGGGGGCAGAGTGGGAGACAAGCAGACTCACCACCGAGCAGGGAGCCTGACGCACACAGGGCTGGATCCCAGGACCCTGAGGTCATGACTTGAGCCGAAACCAAGAGTCGGATGCCCAACTGACTAAGCCACCCAGGAGCCCCTAGAATCTTTAGATTTTTGAAGGAGAAAAAGAAAAAATTTGGGTGATCCAGGCTACAAGACCAAGCACTTAACAGAGAGCGAAAGTTAGAGTTTTCAACAATAATAGTTCATAAAGGAGGACATGTGGATAACATATTTAAGGTAGTTAAAGATGGAAAATGTGAACCAGAGATATATATAACGACATTGACCTTCAAGTTGTAAAGGCCACAAATCCTTCTACATCTTCAATAACTCAGGGAATATTGTTCCCTGGAGCCTTTCCTACTAGATCTCCCAGAGAATGAAAGACAATTAAGGAATATTTAGTTGTACTTGGAGTTGTTTAAACATAGGAAACGGATATGAACGTTGAATGTATGTGGCTCTAAGAACTAAGACTAAATAATGGAGATACGGGTGAAAGACTTGTTGGTAATTCTATTGTTTGACAGTATAGCTCTAATTCAACTTTTAAAATGGAGGAATAAGGGGGAAGAGTATACAAAAGGTAGAATACACTTGCTACTGCCCCTGGTTATTAACTGGTAGTAAAAGATGGGAAAGAAAGCAGAGAAGAGATCCTGATCACCTGCTTTTATTCTTTCTCATAATAATAAACCAATGGGTAGTACCTCAGAAATTATCCATTAAGGGAATTATGTAAAGGTAGTAATGTAAATATAAATACACAAAAGTACAATTTACAAATCTTTCCAAATTAAAAAAAAATCACAAATGAAAGCAAAGAAAAAGGTAATATGACAAAGGAATTTATTGTTAAATAATCATAAAATGATGTGACAAAATATACCAAACTTGTGAATTATATCTGTACATGTAAATGGTCTAAATCCCCTTTAGAAAATTGTTCTCAAATTGGCTAACAAATGCCTATCCAATGCTATGCTATATATGAGGCATACCTAAAACTAAGAGACTTAGAAAGGGAAAATTAAAAATTAAAAGCTGTTTAACTGAACTGTGACAAAGGAGCAAACACAATAGATGGAGAAAAGATAGTTATTTTTTTTTAAGATTTTATTTATTTGAGAGAGAGAGAATGAGAGATGGAGAGCACGAGAGGGAAGAGGGTCAGAAGGAGAAGCAGACTCCCTGCTGAGCAGGGAGCCCGATGTGGGACTCGATCCTGGGACTCCAGGATCATGACCTGAGCCGAAGGCAGTCGCTTAACCAACTGAGCCACGCAGGCACCCAAGATAGTCTTCAATAAATGTTGTGGAACAACTGGATATCCACTTGGAAAAAAATGAATCTAGACATAGACCTTATACCCTCCACAAAAATTGACTCAAAATGGATCATAGAATTGTATGTAAAAGGCAAAACTAGAAAACTAGAAAATAACATAAGAAAAAATGTATATGATATTGGGTTTGGCTGTGACTTTTTTATTATTTATTTATTTATTCCCCCCGCCCCGCAAAGATTTTATTTATTTATTTTGACAGAGAGAGAGAGCGCGTGAGCACACGTGCCCAAGCATGGATGAGCACAAGCAGGGGGAGGGGCAGAGGCAGAGGGAGAAGCAGGTTCCCCACTGAGCAGGGAGCCCAATTCGGGACTGGATCCCAGGACCTTGGGATCGTGACCTGAGCTGAAGGGAGACGCCCAACCAACTGAGCCACCCAGGCGTCCCTGGCTGTGACTTTTTAGATACAACACCAAAGACATGATATGTGAAAGAAATAATTGATAAGCTGGATGTTATTCAAGTTAAAATCTTCTTGTCTGCAAAAGACAGTTAAGATAGTGAGATGGCAAGCCGCAGACTGGGAGAAAATATATGCGAAAAACATTTAATAAAGGACCATTATCCAAATTATACAAAGAACTCTTAAAACTTAATAAGAAAACAACCTGATTTAAAAATGGGCAGGGTGCCTGGGTGCCTCATTCCTTTAAGTGTCTGGCTCTTGATCTCAGCTCAGGTCTTGATAGGGTCCTGTGTTTGAGTTTGAGTCCTGCGCTGGGCTGTGGAGCCTACTTAAAGACAACAACAACAACAAAATGCCTAGAAGACCTGAATAGACTCCTCATCAAGGAAGACAGATCACACATAGGCATATGAAAAGATGCTCACCATCATATGTCATCATGGATTTGCAAATTAAGACAACAATGAAATATCACTTCATACCTATTAGAGTGGCCAAAATCCAGAAGAACATTGATACCACCAAATGCTGGCAAAGCTGTGGAGCATTAGGCACTCTCATTCACTCCTGGTGAGAATGCAATATGGTATAGCCTTCCAAACTACAAGGCAGTTTGGCAGTTTCTTTAAAAACTTGGTATACTTTATGATCAAACAATTGCACTTTGCTGTTTACCCAAATGAGTTGAAAACTTACGTCTACATAGAAACCTGCACATGGATATTTATAGCAGCTTTA